CTTTTGACATGAATCATAGTTCTGGTTGATTCTTGAATGATTTTCTTTTTGTCCACTCCATTTTGATGGAGAGTTATAGGAGAAGAGACTTCACGACTCATTTCTTCAGGGAAACAGAATTTATTAGACTTGTTGTTTCCAACATCCTTGTCATGATTACTTCTGGTTCTGACAACACATCCTTCTTCAAGTTTATTCACCACATCATAGACATGTTTCTTTTTACCAAGCCTTTCAATTTTAAGTTCACCACAAACCCTTCTTTTATCAATCTATAGTTTTGGAGTCCTTCTGACTGCTTTCATAGAGATAGCTCTTTTCATTCTCCTTAGATGAAGATGACCAAGCTTATGATGCCACAGTTTCATCTCTTTTTCTTCTTTGGTAATTGGACACATAGTGGAGTTATTAGTGTTCTCAGGCTGCCACAAGTAACAGTTATCTTTGGATCTGATTCCTTTCATTACAACTTCTAGTTTTTCATTAATTACTAGACATTCAGATTTTGAGAAGTTGACCTTGAATCCTAGATCACATAATTGACTGATACTAATGAGATTAGCAGTCAACCCTTTTACCAGCAAGACTTCACTCAGACTTAGAACTTCAGGGCAGTCCAAATTACCAACTCCTTTGATTTCACCTTTAGCACCATCTCCAAAGGTCACATAACTAGTGTTGTGAGGTTTAACATGATTGAGAATGTTCTTTATTCCAGTCATGTGTTTAGAACACCCACTGTCAAAGTACTAGCCTTCCTTTGCAGACACTCTCAGGGAAGTATGGGCTATCAGAGCAGTAGCCTTTTTCTTCCATTGAGGAATATGTGGTACCTTTTTAGACTTAGGTTTGACACCTGAGTTTTGATTGGGGTATCCATGCAATCTGAAGCAGAAGGGCTTTATGTGGCCATATCTCCCACAATGATGACATCTCCATCTTTGGTACCTTTTCTTCACATGTCTCTGTTTCTGATGTTGAGAGTTGTGTTGAGACATCTGCTTTGACAATTGTTTAACAGGCCTGATCTTCTTGTCTGCACCAGATTTCTTAGCTTCCACAAATCCTAGTCCAGATTTGTTTCCCACATTTTGTCCAACTTGAAGAATCTCTTCCAATTTATCTGTTCCATTGGTCAGCATCTTGACAGATTTGGTCATTTGGTTCAATTGTGAGTTCAGCAATTGAACTTCCCTTTCTAGATGACTTATAGTTTCAAGATCAGCCCTTTTTTCAGCCTCCAGCTTTATAATGAGTTTTGATTGTTTCTCATTCTGCACACAGACTTCAGCACTTCTGATACACAATTTCTTGTAGGTATCAGCCAGTTCTTCAAATGTCACTTCTTCATCACTGGTGTCACTTTCAGATGTACAAACACCAGTTAGAGCAATAACTAGTTTGGCAGATTCTTCTTCAGAATTAATTTCTGAATCACAGTCAGACCAAGTCGCAGTCATTCCTTTCTTTTGTTTCTTAAGAAAGGTTGGACATTCAGCTCGAATATGCCCATATCCTTCACAACCATGGCATTGAATTCCTCTGCCTTGGTTTCCCTTCTCTTCTGACCTTGGTCTTCTACTGGAACTGTCAATGTCAGAGGGAATGTTATGAACATTAGACCTTGACTTTGGATCCATTCTTTTGATGAGTTTGTTGAACTGTCTTCCAAGCATGGCTATAGCTTCTGAAATATTTTCTTCTTCATCCTCCTTGTTTTCAACATCAGTGTTGGATACAAGTGCTATGCTCTTGTTCTTCTTGTCACCATTATCAGTGATCCCCATCTCAAAAGTCTGAAGAGACCCAATAAGTTCATCCACTTTCAACTTGCTGATGTCCTGGGCTTCCTCTATGGCAGTTACCTTCATTGCAAATCTTTTAGGCAAGGATCTGAGAATCTTTCTCACCAGTTTTTCTTCTGACATCTTTTCTCCCAGTGCTCCTGAGGTGTTGGCAATCTCCAAGATGTTCATGTGAAACTCATGAATGGTTTCATCTTCCATCATTTTTAGATTCTCAAACTTGGTAGTCAACATCTGAAGCCTTGACATTTTTACTTTGGAAGTGCCCTCATGAGTAGTTTTGAGAGTGTCCCAAACTTCCTTGGCCAGTTCATATTGATGTACTAGTCTGAAAATGTTTCTATCAATTCCATTGAACAAGGCATTTAAAGCTTTGGAATTTCCCAGGGCTAACTCATCTTCTTCTTTACTCCAATCTTCCTCAGGCTTCAGACTGATTGTCCCATCTTTCTCAGTTATGGTGGGATGGTTCCATCCTTTGTCAGCAGCTCTCCAAGCCTTTTTGTCCAGAGATTTTAAGAAGGCAATCATACGAGGTTTCCAGTAGTCATAATTAGTTCCATCCAGAATGGGTGGTCTATTTCCAAAAACTCCTTCTTTGTCCATAGTGCCAGAAAGTGATATCCCTAGATCTCACCCAGTAATACAGGCAGGGTGTCTGCTCTGATGCCAATTGAAATTCTGGCTGCAGATACTCAATGTCACGTTCAATGTTATGACACCGTATCTGACTTTCTATAAGACAGTAAATACAAAAACAGTAAAGAACACAGTCAATTGTTTACCCAGTTCAGTGTGCAACAACACCTACTCTGGGGGCTACCAAGCCAGGGAGGAAATCCACTATAAGAGATGTTAATTCAGGAATAAACCAACCAGTTTATCTCCTTCACTTAAGACCTACCAAATGCAATTTCAATCTAAGTACAACTTAAACCTGAGTTCCTACTCACTCCCCCTCAATCACAGCAGTGATACATAAAACAATTTGACTAATGAATTGATGAAGACACTCTTCAAAAACATACACTTGATTAAGCTTCACAGCTTTTTAATCAAGCAACACAATCACTCTTGCTTCACAGCTTTGAGTGATACACACACCTAAGTTGACTCTGCTTCACATCTTTAGTCAAGAGACATACAAACACTCTTGCTTCAAAGCTTTGAGTGCTACACAACCCTTACAATTAAAAACCTATTCCAAGTCACTTATCACAATGATAATTGCTTGGATTACAATAGTTAAAACTATACAGCTTACAAATGATCTTCTGTCCAAAAAGGGATTGCTTTCAAAACAGCAGCTCTGTTGAATATATAGCAGCTGCATCTTCAGTTAGGGTTTCCACAAAAAGCTAGGGTTAATTCCGTTTGACCTTAAGACTAGGTCACATGACTTTATCAACCAGGTTAGGGTTGAGCTAGGTTAACCCAAAGAAAACGCAGGATTCTGTTCTGGAAAGACTGAGTCATTTTCCTGAAAAAACTCAGAATTAACCAAACTGCAAACCTGTTAGTTCAGAACAGGATGTCTTAACATTTGTTATGACATCTGAATTCCTGTTTACTGATTTTGGTAAATGTGATCATTTTGCAAAATGCTCAGATACACACTCATAAACATCAGTACCTGTATGACAATATTTTTCTGCAAAGGTACCTAATGAATCAGTACAAACTAAACTAGAATGTTATGACATCAGTCATGACATTCACACATACACTTGGGATTTACCAAAAATTCAAGCCAATAACTAAACAACTACAAAACTTATTATCTCTATAAGTGATTGAAGGGATTTGAGGATGGCCTCATACCTAGGTGAGTCTTAGGTAGAAGTTTAACTTGGGTAGTGATTATGTGATTAGGTCATAAACAGGTTGTTTACTAAGGGTCTATGAATTGATACTATTTAGTGAACTTGTCCCTGACTTGGTAGCCCCCAGAGTATGTGTTGTTGTACACTGAATTGGGTGAACAATCCCTTGTGTTTTTATTGCTTTTGATTTTACTGCACCTTACTTGCAAACAGATATTTGTGTCGTGACATCTCATTTGACATCACATATGTGATACCAAAAATTCAATTGGTATCAGAGCAGGCATCCTGTTCTTTATCTGGGTGAGATCTAGAGAAGATACTTTCTGGTACTATAGACAAGGAAGGAGGATTTGTGAACAGACCACCCATTATAAATGAAAGCAATTATGACTACTGGAAACCACATATGATTTCCTTTTTATGCATAATAAATAGTCTCTTTATATTTTATGCATACAATTTGATTTAAATTGTTTTTTTTTAAAAAAAAATTTAATTTCGAGGATTTTCATTAAAAATATATCCAAAAACACTTAAATATTATTCGGAAAGTGAATAAGATTCAAAGACAAGTGATACTGACCGCGCCACACGAACTTTGGCTTGGATTGGCTCGGCTCATAAACGGCTCAGAGCGCCGAGGCAAATAAAAAATACACAAAACCAAAACGAATCGTTTTAGCGCCACGTCATCGCACCAGTTTAGTTTTTCACAAATGGTTTAATTTCCATTTGCGCTTTTTCGTAACTCTTCTCCACATTCTCTCTTTCTCTCCTTCAATTCAACAATGGAACATTTTCATCACCCTTCGATCCGCGTCGTTTTTGGATCATACAACACCGCATTCCAATTTATCTTCCTTCAACGTTTTCAAGCCTGAACATCAAAACGACACGCCGTTTCGCTCTTCTTCTTCACCGTAACATCTCTGTCTCCATTCCGTTTCAACAGAATCGCATTCTCGTTATCCATTGCCGTTTTTATCGCTATTGTTTTCCGTCGTTTTCGTTCAATGAATTCATATACATTTTAAATCGATAGTTAATTTAACTGTTTTCTCTATATTATACGATCTTCATTGTTGATTCATTAATTCCTGATGAAAATAGAAAATGCTTGATTAATTATTAATTAATCGGTGAAAATAGAAAATCATTATTAAGAGTTTAATTTAATTTTTCTAGATTAATTGATTAATGTGTGTTTTATTTTTGTTTCCTTATTTAGGATTTGATTGTGAATTTGTGATAACAAAAAAGGAGAATTAAAGGAAGAACTGGAAGAATTGTTTTGGATTGAAAATTTGAGGATTGAAAATTTGAGGATTGAGAATTTGAGGATTGAGGAGGTGAAATTGGGGAATGAACAATGTCTACTAGGAATGAACAACATCAAACGGTTCCGCTTTCAGTTCTTTTGAAGCGTGAGTTGATGAATGAGAAAATTGAGAAGCCTGAGATTGCTCATGGTCAAGCTGGCCAAAGTAAGAAAGGAGAGGATTTAACGTTGCTGAAGGCTGAGTGCCAGAGGATGGTTTCTGATGGGGTCTATACATATTCTGTTTATGGGGTATGTTTGATGTTTCTCATGCCTTGCTTTTGTCTGCTTATGGGGTATTCAATTATTGGTTTTCCTTTTTGGAATTGATTGGTTACATGTTTTAATTTGATGTAGGATTGGATTCATTTCTAACTTAAGTCAGCTTTTCAACTAAATGAAATTTATGTTTTTTCTTTTGTAAAATAAATCTGATATATGCTTATAGAAGTGATTATTTATAGAGAAGTTATTAAGCCTGAGAGATTCTAAAAATTGAAATGTGGAAATTCAATTTATAAAAGTAACTTTTGTTTGAAATACTTATAGTAATTACATGATTAGTGTTCAGAAAGTTTATCTGAACCGGTTATTATTACCATTCTATTCTATGGCTTGACTTAATTAACAAGAAAAAAGAAACTAGATTACATATATCATTACAAGGATGGAAAATGATAATGATTTCATCTTGTGTTGCTGCGTTTGATATATTTACCGAGAGTACAACATATTTTTTTTAATAACTTTTAGTTCATAGTTGAGTTTGACTATGAAGGGAGTTTAGCCAGTTGTATATGGGTCTACATCAACATGGAGTCCTCATATTTCTGACTTTTGTTGCTCAATTGATGTGAAGTGGGAACAGTTTCCCGTCTTGTTATGTTATGGTTTTGTTTGTTTGCAGTTTGCACTTATCTTAGTTGGCTCACAGGAAAGATTTTAGCTATTTATGCACAGAATGCATTATTGTTTTTATTCCTATTGTGTTTTGTGTGTGTCTTCCCTGGTTTCATTTTCTCATGTGTAATTTAATTTACAGCTATTTGATGGACACAATGGATCTGCTGCTGCTATTTATTCTAAGGAGAATCTTCTAAATAATGTTTTAAGTGCAATTCCGCCTGATCTTAATGGAGACGAGTGGTTGGCAGCATTGCCTAGAGCTTTGGTTGCAGGCTTTGTAAAAACTGATAAAGATTTTGCACAGAATGGTAAGAGTAATTTTTATTTCTTCCAGTGTTTGCTAGGCGGTCTGTTAGTCATATGTATGTATAAGAAACAAATTAATGTGCGGCAATGGGAACGTTAATGCTGATATCACCCAAAGCATTTGTAAATATTTCTATTTTTGTTTTAATCTATCTCTAGGGCTTCTCATAGTAATTATAGATGTTAATTAAAAAAGATAAAAAAGGTTTGCAGATATATATGCCGAGTGTGCCCAGTGTTTCGAAACCTTGATATAATCTTTTGTATTTAAAATCTCTGAAGATTTAACACTAGATCCTTTTGAGAGCAAAGATATCACAATATTTCTCTTGCTATTATTCTTTGATTTTTAATGATTTTGACTTGATTCTAAATGTTAATATATGAGAAAAGTTATTTCTAAAGTAGGGTATTTTTTTTATATAAACTATATATTTGTGAGGCTTTTTGCAAGTGGGTACTGGTATTTGAACAGATTAGATTGAGCTTCTTTGCATGTTTTAGACTCTGGACATGAATTTTGCATTTTAAGGCATCAGTTTCAACTAGCTTTAACAATACAACATTGACATTGCTTTTGGTTTCGAGCATGCAAATTTACCAAGAAAATAATCTCTTTTAACAAAAGTTAAATGTTAAAATATCGGTTTGGCAAGCAGTTTATGTTGTTTGACACTTCCTTGATTAAAGCTAGTTAAGTTTGTAGGCACATAGAAGGTGTAATGTTTACTTGGTGGTTGAGGTGGGTGATTGATAAGGAGAGAGACGGTTCGGTCTCCACCTCCAACATAATACTACTAACATTTGTTTACTCATGTGAACAGTATAGTTAATACATGATTTAAATTGTGGACTACATCAAGCAATGTGGCTGCAGCATCTCCTATAAAGCAGCCCCACTGTTATACTGGATCTGAGGACCACATTGGTCCATATCAAACCACGCCACAACATGACTGTGACCACAACCACAATTTCAAATCATGTGCTAATTGCTGACATGTTTGAGTTTTGTACTGTTAATAAAGAACATTAATTAGTAATGGAGGTTAAATAAGATGATGTGATGTGACTGATCTGTGATTATTAGTGTTTATACTTCTGAGTTAATGGTTTTTAATTTTTATGTTGTCATTACAGGACAAAAATCAGGAACAACTGTAACCTTTGTGATTATCGAAGGATGGGTTGTAACGGTTGCATCAGTTGGTGATTCCCGCTGCGTACTAGAATCTTCTGAAGGTGGGGTTTATTACTTGTCAGCAGATCATAGGCTAGAAACAAATGAAGAGGAGTAAGTTGGAATCTTTTTTTGTTGAGCAACTATTTGAAAATAGTTCGTTATTAATAGCATCACCTTTCTTTTTCACTTTCATCAGGAGGGTTCGTATCACTTCTAGTGGGGGTGAGGTTGGTCGTTTAAATACAGGGGGAGGTGCAGAGGTACATTTACTTTTAGTTTTATCCAGTTTAATCCATATGGTTTTGTTCCATAATAAGCTTGAACACCTCGCTTCATGCCAAAAAGAAAGAGAAAAAAGGACAGCTTGTTCATATATCCATGCATCAACTAGTACTTTAGTTTTTGGTATTAAACTACACAATCAGATACAAAGAGTAACGTGAAAATCATATCATGGTAAACTGAGAGGCGGGTGTGCACTTGTTAATTGTATTTGGTGATAAGACCGTATCAAATTAACAGTACTCATTGCATTTCATCAAAAAAATTTATAATCTTTCTTGGAAACTGTTTACCAATATTCTCTTTAGATAAAATTTGCATTTGAGTCAATATTACTAAATATGGCTGACTAGATTAATGATTTGTGTAGGTTGGTCCCTTGAGATGTTGGCCTGGTGGCTTGTGCCTTTCACGGTCTATTGGAGATATGGATATTGGTGAATTTGTTGTCCCTGTACCACATGTAAAACAAGTGAAGGTTAGTCACTATTCTCAATCTTACACATAGGGTAGGGTTCGGCTTATGTCAAGATACAATACCTTTCATTTACACCCTTTCACTCTCAAGGTTACTTTATTCTCTGTATATCTTTTCTGTTATCCTACAGACTTCATTACTGTTGTTTTTTTCGTGTATGTAGTTTCTTCTTAGCAAGTGTATCTGCTAACCATATTCTTTCAGAAACTCTGAGAATCAAATGATTGAATTCTTATGGAGAGTTTAATTTGTTTCTGTTTATTCAGCTGTCCACTGCTGGAGGCCGGCTTGTTATCTGCAGTGACGGTGTTTGGGATTCTTTACCTGCAGAAGTGGCTCTTGATTGTTGTCGTGGCATGTCAGCAGAGGCTGCTGCACCACAGATTGTAAAAGTGAGATAAATATTAATACTTTTGGACCATTATTTGAATTGTTTGTGGGACTGTTGTGATGTTGGGTGTAATAGTAATCTCCGACT